TGGATTGAGTTATACACCTGAAAGTTTGTTTTATAATCAACAACTATTATTGGTCTTTAATTACACGCATAATTCAAGGTTATCAGATTATTATTTAATTAGCTAACAAGCATTAATTACACTGGGGGTCAAGTGTCCACAATTACCTACGGGTGTAATTACGGGTAGGTAATTGTGGACCCAATTTAAAAAAATCGTTTTGGGAGGAGAGCAACTCCTCCCAACCTCGATACCCATCTCCCCCACCCGGCTCAGGCCTTCGGCCCTCAGATAACGCTGGTCGCTAGTAGTTGTTCCGCTCAGTAGTTGCTCCCATAAATACTTAGTCCCCCAGTCGGAAATCTTAGCCCCCCACTCCCATAAATTATATCCTAGAGCCGCCCCTGCTTTGAACAAGTCATTCCATTCATAGGAAAAGCCTTTTGATGGAAAATGTATACATTTTTAGCAAGGTTTGCCTACGTCGACACTAACTCCGGCTATATAAATTTGATTAGAAGATTGAAAAAGTTATTATAGTTAATAAAGGATTAATAATAAGGATTGCTATGTCCATTTTTATTGATCTAATCTACGTAAATTTACTTTCAGAGTTTATATTTCGATAATGAATTTGTTTAGATATTTATTTGAAAAATACATTATATGAAATAATGTAATCGTTAACGTGTCTGTATTACTTAACATAATTCAATCTTATTGCTTTATTTAAATATTATCAAATATTATTAAAGCGTTAATGATTACATTATTTCATATAATATATTTTTCAAATAAATATCTAAACAATTTATTGGCTTGGTATTCAAAGCATCACCTTATATATCAATAAGTCAGAACTCTTAGATGACGCACAAGACGCAAGAGCAATGTGATGATAAATATTCGCCCCACTTGGCATGAATTCATGTTTAAGCATTCATTGAATATGCTGGAAAGAACAGATGTGCACAAGGAATATAGTATACCATCAAACAGTGGCATACGCGTCCTCCACTCCAATCGCCCACTCATTGGAAATGTTCAAAGCAAAAAAAAAAGCTCATATCACCCTATTTTTTGCGAGCTTCGTCCCTCAATCACTTCACTTCGCAAAAACTAATGAATGGATCATCTTTTGGGAAAAGGTCAAAGGACAAGGTCAATGTCAAGGAAATTTGAATTTGTTTTTACCCTCGAGAATAAAAGAAAATAATAGAATCGTCCATAATTGGCTTGAGTATTGTTCGGTATTCAGGCACAGGTTGGAGCTGGAATACACTCTCGGAATGACTACCGGTACTTATTATATTGAATAGCCATTTAGTATGGTTCATTCTCGCTTCGTTTGAATGAGAATACAGTATTACTAGAGGTAAATATAATGAGATAATTAAGAATTCATGGTAAATAAAATAAATAAGAAAAACATTCTAAAAATGCGTTTATTTTATATAGTGATTCAAGTCTTTAATGTCAAACAGTAAAAATATACGATTTAAAATTTTGATTGTTCACAATTTCATTATAAAGGATTCGTATATATTATCAAAGAACTTAAATAGCAGAAGAATGAGCTGTTCCGCGTATTTGCATTAAAATCGATGGAACATCCGCCCTTCTGCGGATGCAGTAAAATTTGAACATTTTACTAAGTGGAGAAACTACAGGAAACAAATGAACCAGAGCGGCGCCTTTACTATTACTATATAGCGCCGCCGCGCGGATGCAGTAACATTTTTCTCCGTGTACCCACAATGCATTTTGACCGGGTGTTCCACTATTATCTTTGATATTATACAGTAATCGATTTTAAAGTGATAAATTCTTGTATATGCTACATGTATTTATCACAATTATTGGAATTTTTGATGCAATTCAGTTTTTATTGCAAAGTCATACACCTAATATTTTTTTAATAAACCATATAATTTTTATTTATTTATTTATTACGGTATAAAAACAATTACAAGACAATAGCAAAGAGCTAAATATGTTTGTATTACAAAATATAAAAAAATATATATAATCCAAAAAGTAGAAAAATATATAGCCTAAATATAACAGTAGAAAAATATACATCAAATTTATGAAACAGACCATTAAAAATTTACAAACAACATCAAAATTGAAATAAACATCCACAAAATAAGACCTAATTTAAGAACGCTATCTGGATTAATTTCATTCAATGCAAGTGAATTGAATTTTACCATCATTAAACAGATTAACAATAGAAGGGATTGCAGAATTCAGAAACCGATTTGTTTTACAACAAAATGGCCTCTGTCTAACCATACTACTGGATCTCAGTGATCTATTAGTATGTTGGAAGGTGGTAAGAAAGTATGGTATCTTTCCGAATTCAACAATTTCTTGCCAAAATTAACAAGTAATTTGTCTCGTCTTGTTTCCAGAGAATATTCACCTTAAGTCTAGAGAGAACATCACTGTACGAGTCATAACGATCATCTAAGATGATTCTAACAGCTCTCCTCTGAACCTTTTCTAATTTAGACGAAAGATTCTTAGTAAGTAAAGAGTGCCATACCTCTCTTGCATATTCAAGTATTGGTCGTATATAACAAGAATTTACAAGCAATAAATCAGACGTAGGTGCATTTGCTTTCTTTAAAAGAAAAAGCGAAAACAACCTTTTTGACGTCCGCGAAACGATTTCAGAAATGTGCAAATTTCACTTAAGATCATTCTAAATAGTAACTCCAAATAACTTAAGGTGTGAAACATTCTCTAGGACAGTTCAAATAAGGCTAAAGGTAGGTATCTCGGGTCGGTTTCGAAGAAAAGATATTTGTAGAGTGTGGCATTTAACAGGTTTATGGGGCCATATCATATCACCACACCACTGGGAAAGAGTATCTAAATAACATTGTAATAAAGGGGCCTGATTTTTATTAACTAACTCGCCAATTGTTAGATCATCAACATATTTCAAACGTCCGTAGTCTCCAATCGCAGCATCATTTATGAATATAAGAAACAGCATAGGACCAAGTTTCGTACCCTGAGGAACACCACAAGTGATGTTAGCAAGTGAACAATTCAATTTGGTATTCTGTGTGCGGTTGGAGAGGAAACTACAGACGGTGGGAATAATCGATGCTCTAACCCCAATATTAATTACGGCAGCTTGTTAACAAGTAGGCCTACAGTGTGATTAATTCTATCAAATGAATAAGTACAGTGAATAATTCTATCAAATGCCTTGGTAAAATCTATAGCCCAAATATCGGAATAATAGCCAGGTTTGTCAAGGGCTTCAAGTATCGTATGTAACATGTCTATTAAATAATGGGTAGTACTGGCTCCTTTAATGATGCCAAATTGTTGACTATCCAACTTATTCTTAATAATCATCAAATATCCATCTGACAATAAACGATTCAAAAATGTTACCAAAATAGGGCTAAGGGATATGTTGGCCGTAAATCATTAAGTGATTGAAGTTTGTTAACTTTAGGAATCGGGATAACCGTTGCGGTTTCCAGATATCGGGGAAGGCACCACTACTTAATGTCTTATTTAAAAATAAGAGCTAGGGATCAATCAACTCGAATGCAAAATCTTTTATCAAGGCAAGTCAGAATGATGGCCTGATTTAGAGATGTTTAGTTTTTTTTTGTCTTTCGTGGGGATCACCCACCTTTATTTGTCCTCTTTTTTCATGATTTTCAATTTTTCGTTTCCTCTTCTATTATACAGTGATCTTATGCTGTACCGATATTTACATATGCGTTCACAATTCAAAACAATTTTGTATTTATACATTTATGCAATATAAAACAAATTTAAAAGAAAAATTAATTGAATTATATAAGCATACATTTTTTTTTAAGTGGGAGAAAATTGCACATTTCCCGTAATTTATTTCCTCCATGCCTACATACATGCAATATACCGTGTGTATTATACAAACACACACCTACACACACACACACACACACCAATACATACATAAATACACCAACAAACACACACCCACGCCCACACTCACACACATACCCACCAATAACCTACACATATACATAGGCCTACGTAAAAAAGCATACCCCAAATAAAACAAACACACATACACTACAGTGTACTAATTATTAAATATTTTTGTTTCCTCCTGATTTTCATTTTCTTTAACCTTAATTACTGTACCTTTGTAATAGACATTCTGTTTACACCTTCCACATTCTTTCATTCTTTTTCCCCTTTTTTTTCCTTTACGAAATTTTCATTATTTCTTTTTTTCCCTTTTTCTTTTTTGGTTTACATTTTCAATCATAAGCAAAGTGATGTACAACACTAATATCATAATGTTTACAATGCACACAAATTCAAAGTTCAAAATTTATGACAAACTTAAGAAAAAGAGACATTTCTCACATTATACA